GAAGGGGCTGCACAAACAGGCCTGGAGAGATAAATTGCTTCCTGGGGTGCTGGGGAAGGGCTACATAAATCCGGCCTGGAGAGATAAGCTCTTTGGAGTGTTGGGGCAGGAGTTGCATAGTTCAATAGGTCATCCATCCTCCTGAGAGGCTGGGAACGGGGGCTGTGAGGTTTCATCTTCCTGAGGAGCCGCAGAGGAGGTGGGGGCTGCCGATCCGGACCGGGCCCAAACACTGCCCAAAGAACAAACAAATCTGTCTTGGAGGAAGTACAGCCGGAATGCTCCTTGTAGACAAGATTAGCGAGGCTTCGGACATGTCAGGAGAGGCCAGTCCCTGGAGAAGGACATCATGCCGGGTGAAATACAGTGGCAGCGAAAAAGAGGAAGGCTCTCGACATGATGGATGGACGCAGTGGCTGCAACCGTGGACTCAAACCTAAGAACCATTGTGAGCATGGTGCAGGGCCAGGCAGCGTTTCCCTCTTGTACAGAGGGTCCCTCTGAGTGGAGCCAACTTGTTTCAGTGGCCTCGAACAACAACAAATGGATAGTTCACTTGGCTACTAACCAGAGGTTGCCGGTTGAATCCCATTCAAAAGTCACGCCTTAAAAAACCTAAACGCTAAGGAGTTGGGATTTATTCGATGGCGACTGGTTTGTTTTAATGCCTGTGAGCGAAGGGACTACAACTCCCATGGTGCCGTGGGGCCGAGCTCACAGTGGGCCTCCCAAAGCCAACGGTCTCATGGGAAACGTAGTCCACAATGGCCCCTCCTCTCTTCCGCCCCCCACCCCCCCTCCACGTCTTGCATCTTACGAAGGAGTCCCCGGGTGGCGCTGCTGGATAAGCGTTGGGCTGCTAGCAGCTGCCGGTGGGAGAAAGATGAGGCTGTTTCCATTAAGATTTATAGTCGAGGCAACCCTGTATATATAATGACATGGTCGCTATGAGTCGGATCAGCTGGATGGCAGTGGGCTTGATTTGCTTTTGGCAGAAATTCAGAAATTAGATGCACCTTGTGATTGTGCAAACCAACACCCTCTTTCTTTGGGGTGCGAGGGGTGGCGTAGGGAGGAACGGGCGAAGGCAGAGATCCCAGAAAGGCTGGCTGACTTGCCCCAAGTCACACAGGACAAAGGTCCCCGTGGCCTTCCTTCCCTTTTTAATTCAACAATTGGTGAAACTGAGATCCGAACCCAAACCTGACCTTGACTGGATTCCAAGTTGAAGCAACTTCACATACTTTAGCTTAGAAGCGTGCCCTGTAGTTTGTAGGGGCTGAGATCTTTCAGAAGTTGTGTGGACCGCCAGGCCTTTCTTCGGACGCGCCTCTGGGGGAATTTAATTCTCTAAAGTTAACCATTTGCACCAACCACAAACTAAAGGGAAATCAGGGTTTAATCAGGAGCCAGCTATTCGTGTGCCCCCCCACCTCCCCGAAGCCTAGAAAACAGAGTCAGGGGGGAGGGATGGGGCTTTTATCACTCCCCACACCTATTTTGTACCCTGAAGTCTCCACTATCATCCCCATCCCCCTCCAGGGTTGAAAAGAGGCGTCTGCGTGAAGATCAACCACTTCCCGGAGGACACGGACTACGATCATGACAGCGCAGAGTATCTGCTCCGTACGTGGGGGGACCCGCGTAGCTTGGGGGAAGGGGTGTGTGTCCTGCGGGGCCAGAAGGTGGGCGCCAGCACTTGGCTAGACATACTGAGCTTGGCATCTCAGCCAATCCGAGGGCAGACATTGAGATCCTAGGCTTTCCGATTGGCTGAGCAGTTCTGTTCCCGCCCCCTCTTCTCACTTTGGTGCGGGGTGAGGAAGGCGGAGGCGTGGAGGGATCCTGGGTGCTGATTGGTCGTTCTCTCCTGGCGCGCCCTCCCCCGAGTGCGGTAACTCCGGATTGTGATTGGCTGCCGATTCCGGCGCTGTGACTGGACGCTGCGCCCTAGCCTCTGCAGCTTGTTGGGGCCTGCTGGGAGAGCCTGCGCTGTGATTGGAAGCTGCGGGCCTGGGGGGTGGAGGAGTGGGCGAAACGCAGCAAATCCTGAGTCGTGATTGGCTGTGGACTTAGCTAGCTTCAGCTATGGCAAGATCTGGCTGCCTGGGTTTTGGAGGTGGATGGTGGGTGGAAAGGTTTGCAGAGGGGGAGAAGGCAGGAGGGAATCTGAGTGGGAACGAGATGGAGAGATGTGTGTGAGTAGTGACATGCAGGCATCATAGAGGCGGGAGAGCTGGAGAGGCATATGTGTATATTTTTCAAAGCCTAGCATACAAGGAGAGAGGAGAGGGATATGGAGATAGCAAGAAAAGGGGGTGGGGAAGAGTTATCTACATAGATAGACAGTAATATGACTCTATCTTTATGTAGCTATAGATGGATTGGAGAGCAGAGATAGAGGGCTAGAGATCGAACGACAGAGTGAAAACTCTGTCTTACAGGTGTAGATAGATAATATAAAACTGTACCTATCTAGAACAAGCCTGCCATAAGAGGAAGAAGAGGGATAGGATAGATATATAGAGAATATGTAGATATATTACATAAAATTATGAGGGAGAGATGGGGGGGGGAACCTAGATAAAGCCAAGCATACAAGAAAGAAGTGAGATAAATGTATACAAAAAGAGAGAAGTGTGTGTGTGTGTGTGTGTGTGTGTGTGTGTGTGTGTGATATGAGAGTGAGAGAGATTAGAAAAACCAAGCATAAGCGGGGGAGACAAGGACGGGGGGTGGGGTGGGGCGAGGGAACAAGAAATAGAACGCTAGTGAGAGGGGGAAAAGATAAGAGAAAACCAAGCAGAAAGGAGGGAAGAGGAAAAGGCTGGGGAAAGAGAGGGAGATGAGAGAGGGAGATTGGCAGAGAGGAAGGGGGGTGTCGGGGGCTAGAAAGAAACAGAGAAAGCGGTTGGAGGTTCGCTTAGCAAAGTTCCAGAGAACACCCTAGCGAGGGAGCGATTTAGAGGCAAAAAAGAGGGAAAGCCCCCCAGAGCCAAAACTTGGACCGAGAGAGAAAGAGGGATAAAGGCAGAAGGCGCCACAGGGAAAGGCGGGGCCGGTTGGGACCCAGAGACCTCGGTCAAAGCTAGGAGGGGGTAACTGGGGTGTTGAGAGGGGTAGGGTCACACTGAGAGCAGAAGGGAACCCCCGAGACGCGGCGGGAGAGAACGGGCCGGGCGTGAGCGCGGGGTGCGCGGCGCGCTGGAGCACACTCTCCGGTCTCGGCAGGAGTCGTCCGGGCCTCCAGCATCTTCCCCATCCTCAGCGCCATCCTGCTGCTGCTCGGCGGCGTGTGTGTGGCCGCCTCCCGCGTCTACAAATCCAAGAGGAACATCATCCTGGGCGCAGGGATCCTGTTCGTGGCAGCAGGTGAGAGGCAGAGGGAGGGGGCGGCAGAACCGGGTTGCCCCACAATGCCGCGGGCTCTGTGCGCGCGCTGGAGCGCGCGTCCACCAAGCGCCCTTGCCCCTGGAGTCCCCTGGGGCCCGCTGTCTTCCCAGCCTCTCCTAGTTCCATCGCTCCCCGCTGGGTAAAGTAGGTGCAGCTTTGGAGACGTGGATGAGTAAATGCTCCATCCGCAGATTCCCCGCGTGTCATCATCAGGGGCGCGCGGGCGGTTAGGTTCTAGAACAGGAAGGGGAGGCGGGGCCTTGGGAAAGAATTGGAGTTTCGAAGTTAGCGGGACGGGGCGGAGCTTGGGGGCGTGGTCAGGAATTGGAGAGAGAAGTTATTTTAGATGTCCAGGGAAGAGAGCCCTCTTTGGTTATAGGAGTCACCTCATAGGCCCATTGGGGTGAAGGAAGGGATTGCTTCTAGGGACTATGCAAACTCAAAACCCAATTCACTGTCATACAGTAGATGCAGGCTCATAGGGAGCCCAGAGGACAGGGTAGAACTACCCCTTTGGGTCTCTGAGACTGTAATTCTATAATGGAATAGAAAGCCTCGTCTTTCTCTTACTGGAGTGGCTGGTGGTTTAGAACTGCTAACCTTGGGGCTAGCAGCCCAATGCTTAACCACTACACTACCAGGAATCCTAAGGGACCATGCAGAACTGCGAAATGAGCAAAAAAGACTTGAGTCTGGGGGACTGGGTGAGCCCTGGTCAGTAGTCTATCTGAGGTGTGAAGGTTAGCAGAGAGGAAGGTGAGTCTTGTCAATTACAAAGCCATCACGGGCATAACAGCCACCTGGTGACACAGGGTGTGTTTGTCCCAGTAGATTAGATAAACAAATCCAGGGACAATCATCAGTGTGTAAGAGAGAGCTTTATATAAAAGAGCAATTGTATATTGAGAAAACATCCCAGCCCAGCCTAGATCGAGTCCATAAGTCCGATATTAACCTATATGTCCCATACCAGTCTATTAATTCCTCTACAGATTCAAGCAACACATGCAATGGCGCGGAATTTGGGAAGATCACAGGCTAGTGGATATAAAAGTCTTGTGGATCTAGTGTCGGTGGAAGCATCTCAGCACTGGCAGGGGTCTCCACATGGCTCCTCCAGCTCCAGGGCTCTGGCTACATCAGCATAGCTCCATGTGGCTTGTCAACAGGAATGTGTCCCAGGGAGAGTGTGTCCTGCCTCCATGGAGGAAGACAGGAGTTACCAAAATCCTCAGGAGAAGGTCATTCCCACACAGGGCCCTCATTGACTATGGCCTGATTGACAGGCTAGACTCCACACCTTTGCAAGTTGACAGGAGATTATGTAACTGCCACACAGGATTAAGGGCTCCCTGCTAAGTAAAAGGTTAGCAGTTTGAGCCCACCAGCCGCTTCGCTGTAGAAAGATGAGTCAGGCAGTTTCCCTAAAGATGACAGCCTTGGAAACCCAATGGGGCAGTTTGACTCCATCCCATAGGGTCACTATGAGCTGCAATGGACTCGATGTCAGTGAGTTTTATTGGGTTAGAGTTTGTGCTGTTGTGCCCTGGTGGCGCAAGAGGCTAAGCTTTGGACTGCTAACGCAAAGGTGGGCAGTTCGCACCCAGCAGCCCCTCTGTGGGTGCGAGAAAGATCAGACACTCAACTTCCATAAAGATTTACAGTCTTGGAAATCTTGTGGTGCAGTTCTGCTTCGTCCTGTCTATAGGGTTGTTGTGAGTCCAGAGTGGACTTGATGGCTGAGGGTCTGAGCGGACAGAGGGAGGAAGGAGTAGGGTAGACACCCAGGCGGGGGTTCTACCCTAAACTGAAGGCCCAGATTTGGAAGGGGCAGAGCCCAGAGGCAGGCAGGGATAAATAACATCATTGACCGAAGCTGAAAGATCCACGAGGTGGGGCCTGGAATGGCGACTGTGAGGGTGGAGTTAGAGCAGACCAGAGCGTGAGAAATGGTTCACCCCTGGCAGAGTTAGACCATCTGCGGGTGGGGCCAGATCTTGGGGGAAGGGTTTATACCATGTGGGGGAGGCGCCTGGGCCATCTGGGGGTGGAGTTTAGATCATCTGGGGGTGGTCTAAAGGAGCCTGGGTGCCATAGCGGTTACGCACTGAGCTGCTAGACTCAAGGTCAATAGTTCAAAACCACCAGTCACTCTGTGAGAGAAAGAAGAGGTGGTCTCTCCTTGTAAGCAGTCACAGTATCAGACACCCACAGGGGCAGTTCTACCTTGTCCTATAATGTCGCTATGAGTTGGAATCGGAATCGACTCCATAACAGAATAAGGGGAGTGGGCGGGGTTTCCAGGTCATTGGGGCGGGGCTTATACCATCTGAGTTTGGGGTGTGGTTCAGCTGGGGTGGATGTAGGCAACCAAGGTTTGGGATCTGGTCCAAATGGGGTGAACTGAGCCCACCTGGGGCGCTGTTTCCACCATTTAGGGGATGGGTCTGGGCCACCCGAAACAGTATTTAGATCATGGGGTTGGGGCCTGGACAGGAGCAGGAGTGGAGGTGGGGTGGACAGAGCTCAGACCATCTTGGGGTGGGGCCTGGGCCATCTTGAGTGGTATTCAGACCAACACGGAGCCAGGGCTCAGCCTCAGGGGCTGGAGTTCAGACCTGGGGTGGTGGTGGTCCTGGAGCCTTAAGTGAAGTAGTGGTTACCCGTTGTGGGCTGCTAGCTGCAGTCAGCCGTTCAAAACCCCCAGCCCCTCCGCAGGAGCAAGATGAGGTTTTTATTTACTCCGTCAACGGTTACAGTCTCGGGAACCCACGGGTGGAGGGGGGAAGTTCCACCCTGCCCTTTGGGGCCGCTTAGTGTTCGCCCGACTCGATGGCAGTGAGGGTTTTTTTTTGGGGGGGGGACTGGGCCCCCTGGGGGCGGGCCGGGCGGGCCCCCGGAGTGGCCTCGAGGCTCCCGTCTGTCTGTCCGTCCCCCGCCCAGGCCTGAGCAACATCATCGGCGTGATCGTGTACATCTCGGCGAACGCGGGCGAGCCGGGCCCGAAGCGGGACGAGGAGAAGAAGAGCCACTACTCGTACGGCTGGTCCTTCTACTTCGGCGGGCTGTCCTTCATCCTGGCCGAGGTCATCGGCGTGCTGGCCGTCAACATCTACATCGAGCGCAGCCGCGAGGCGCACTGCCAGTCTCGCTCGGACCTGCTCAAGGCCGGCGGGGGCGCGGGCGGCAG